GTAGAGGAAAGCTGTCTTTTGGGCATGCCTTGTTGACTGTTTTGTAGTCGACGCAAACACGCCATTTGCCATTCTTTTTTGGCACTACGACCGTGTTGGAGATCCATTTTGGGTAGTGCACCTCTCTAATTGCTCCTGCCTCCAGCAGGTTTCCTACTTCCTTTGCCACTATTTCGGCATAGTGAAGTGCCGATCTGCGTATGCGCTGAATGACTGGTCTGGCGGATGGGTGGACATTAAGTTGGTGACAGATGAAGTTTGGGTCAATGCCTGGCATGTCATAGGGTGTCTAGGCGAACACTTCGATGTTAGAGGTTAAGAATTCCAAGACCACTAATCTCTCAGTGCTGGACAACGACGAACCGAGCAAAAAGAACTTATCTGGGTTTTTTTCATCTATTTTTACCTCTACCAAGTCCTCTACTGCTTTCTGATCCGCCGCTTTGCCGACATCTGCAAATAGCTCATTACTCTCAGGTTCTTCCACCGAATGAACGTATCCTTTGGCAGCGCGGCTGCCATTCACCGTGACGATGCATTGCTTCAACATGATCTAATCTCCATAGACTTCTTCAATTACACCGGTGTCGTTGGGGAACCGCATTACTTGGTGGTAGGATGATGCCACCGATCGCATGGCATACAGCCATGTTCTACCCAATATGATGTTGTAAGTGGAGGGGACCTTCAATACCCAGAACTCCACTTGTTTCATCACGCTTCCTTCTCTAACTGGAAGAATTATTTTGCCGACAGGCCATTTTGGCATGGAGTTGAATCCAATTAGGGGTGATACAGCAGGCGCCAAGTCTTTGTCTTGTAGTTTTAGTTGTTTAAATGTTTCGTAGTACATGATTTCACATGAACTGCCCTGGTCAATCAGAATCCGCTTGACGTTAAAATCCTTGACTCGGAGAGTGACGACCAGGGCATCATTGTGAGGGCAATATATCCGTTCTAAGTCTTTATCCGAAAAAGAGATGACGTTTGTTACCTCTGTCTTCCCCTTCTTGGTGGCAGGTTGGGCACTTAGCACCTCTCGTAAGTATTCAGCCTTTTTGATTGATCCTCTAAGCTCGCATACGCGCTCAGGTTCAAAGACTCCATGTATCACATTGATAACGCCTTGAGGTGGGGCGTCGACTGGCATTCCGTTGGGGTTATTGTGATTCTGGAGGGCTGGTTACGTCCCTCCTTCAATGTACTTATCCAAGTGGCATGCTGCCACCAACTCCTCCAGGTGTTGTCTCAATGGTGTGGAATTCTCAGTGCGGTGTCCCTTTTCTTTATGGAAGGTGCACCGTGATCTTTCGTCATAGTTCTTCTGCGCTTCCTCTAGTTTGGCTGGCCACTTGACGAAAGGCTCATCTCTTATTTCGCTTAGAATCTGATATATCGGTTTCTTGAACACCGTAGTTATGGCAGTGCGGATTCTCAACCATCTTTTATCTGGGTCTTCTCCGTTATCTCGTCTGCCACGTCCGTTTCTGTTACTTCGATCTACCGTGTTGACCTTTGCTGAGGTCTTCTTTCCTGGTATTGTGGTCGTGCCAGATTTTGTTTTGGCACGTGCGCCATCCTCTTCTACCTTGATATGCTGATGCACTCTTTTCATCAAGGCTTCCATGGTGAGGGGCGGTGTCATGGTGATGGGCCGACCGCGCGTTCCCGACTGGAAGGCCTCTTTTATACTGTGCAATGGCGAGATTGGTGGGGCAGTCCCCAATCTGATTGAATGTCTCCCAGTAGTGACTATTATAGGATCTAAGGGTCTCTTTATCGCCCATGTCGATAGAGAGTAGCTGGTCGATTTCCACTGGGGTTTTAGTATTTGTTCGGAACCTTGTTACGAACGCCTCTGCCAATTGCGCCCAAGAGGCTATGCTGCCCTCTGGAAGTTTCTCGAACCAAGTCAAGCCTAGGTCGCCAAGGCTAGATGGGAAGAGTATGCACATTAAGGCCTCGTCTCGCCTGTATACAGCCATGACCTGGCGAAAGTGGCTCAAGTGTGAGTAGGGGTCCGTCTTCCCTTCATATGTAGTGAATTTGGGCTGAAGGAAGCCTGATGGTAGGGGCGCGTTTTCAATCGCCGGAACAAACGGCGAAATCTGCAGCCTTGCTAATGCTTTGTCTGTTGGTTTGTAGGCAGGCGCGATATTGGCATTCCAACCTCGACGCTTCCATGCGTCCGATGAGTCAACCGCTGTAAGGCAGAAACTCTATGTGGATCCCGTGCCCTGGCATCCTCCTTGCATCGTGCTTTTTCTTCGAGCACTGTTCGTAAGTCAAAAGAAAAGAAAAAAGAAATTTAAATAATAAATGCATTAATTAAAATTGATAAATATTTTGTTGTTTATATAGTGTGAAAGAAATCTCGTAAGTGTTGTATTTATTATTAGGGTCTTATATTAAATTATTAGGGTGTCAAGTTAAAATATGTATAGATCTTTATATATATATATATATATAAAATCTCAAAGGAGGTGAGAGAAAATTTTCATTTAAATAGCTTGTTAGTTCAAAGGGACAATATGGTCATTTTAGATAGAAAAGTAACGGTATTTATAGGGAAATTGTATTTCCACATACCTACCTACCTCTGTGTACACACTTAATGATTTATTTTTTTATTACAATTTTCTTCTAAAATAAAATTACCAAAGTGTCCTTATTATCTCCACTAAAACCCTAATTTCTTCATCCCCTCTAATAACCAGCTGCAGATTCTCTTCATAACAAACACAAGTTTACTCTCTACTATAGTAACCACAGTAACCACTATATTTTCCCAAGACAACTTGCAACTAACACTCCTGTCCACTATAACCATTGTAATCCAAACTCAACCTCTATTTTTGTCATTTAATGTTTCACTTCAATCAATACATGCATACATGTGTCTGTACTTGTGTATATATGTTATGACTACTGTGCCACCACACCATTGTTAGCCTTGCCACCAAACACAACTGTTTTACCAAATCAAAAAAGCAAACTCCTTAATTAGATCTTAAATCAAATATATGGATATAACCAAATAAAAAGAGACCGAATCAAAAAATCAAAAACATCCAAATCAGTCAGATCTTTGCGTAAAGAGATGGATATTTTTGGCAAAAAAGATTATGCATTGAGTAAAATTAGAAAATTCAAAATTAGTTGGTATGTGTATTGAGAGAGGATGTAGAATGAGATGTTTTGGTGGTAAAAATAGAATTACCCCGTATTTGTACTCAATTAACAAATTTAAAAAATCTTGATCTTATTCATAAAAAGTAAAAAATATTTCTGTAATTATTAAAACCGCCAAAGTTGTGTGTTACCTCCCCAAAGGTGATGTTTGTGAGCTTTTATAGGTTTCGTGTGGCACAATCCTAGTAGGACTTCTACTCCTCCATGCAGAGTCCTCCTAGGATTCTTACTCCTGAAAGATAATGCTTATCCTTCAACACCCCCCTCACTGCTTGAACCAAGTGAAATGGTTTTTACCATGACCGAACTCCAACATGACCGAAATAATTATGGCTATGCCAAGCCTCAGAGTAGGCCGAACTAGCTCTTCCTTTTACTTCTCGTACGTCAGCTTCTCGTGCACAACACACGGCGTGGTTAGGCCGAACTAACAAGTCGCGACCGGTATAACTCCAAGACCGATCTAACGCAAAGGTACTGTTAGACCGATCTAACTTCGTTCTTACGTCGGACCGGACTAGTTTCGCAGTCTTAGGATCGGACTAACTTCGGAATATCCATACGACCGGAGTGACTTACGTGGCCCCTTTACTTGGCCCTTTATACTGTGGCTCATAACGGCCCATTACCCAGCTCGGCCCAATTTTCACATAAATTATCCTCTCAGTTCTTATATTAAATCATTAGGGTATCAAGTTAAAATATGAATAGATCTTTAATAATATATATATATATATATAATCTCAAAGGAGATGAGAGAAAATTTTCATTTAAATAACTTGTTAGTTCAAAGGGACAATATGGTCATTTTAGATAGAAAAGTAACGGTATTTATAGAGAAATTCTATTTCCACACACCTACCTACCTCTGTGTACACACTTAATGATTTATTTTTTTATTACAATTTTCTTCTAAAATATAATGACCAAAGTGTCCTTATCTTCTCCACCAAAACCTTAATTTCTTCATCGCCTCTAATAACCAGCTGCAGATTCTCTTCATAGCAAACACAAGTTTACTCTCTACCATAGTAACCACAGCAACTGCTATATTTTCCCAAGACAACTTGCAACCAACACTCCCGTCCACTATAACCATTATAATCCAAACCCAACCTCTATTTTTGTCATTTAATGTTTCACTTCAATCAATACATGCATACATGTGTCTGTATTTGTGCATATATATTATGACTACTGTGCCACCACACCATTGTTGGCCTTGCCACCAAACACAACTGTTTTACCAAATCAAAAAAGCAAACTCCTTAATTAGATCTTAAATCAAACATATGGATATAACCAAATAAAAAGAGACCGAATCAAAAAATCAAAAACATCCAAATCAGTCAGATCTTTGCGTAAAGAGACGGATATTTTTGGCAAAAAAGATTGTGTATTGAGTAAAATTAAAAAATTCAAAATTAGTTGGTATGTGTATTGAGAGAGGATGTAGAATGAGATGTTTTGGTGATAGAAATAGAATTACCCCGTATTTGTACTCAATTAACAAATTTAAAAAATCTTGATCTTATTAATAAAAAGTAAAAAATATTTCTGTAATTATTAAAACCCCTCTAATTGAAGCGAGCGGTTCCCCTGGAAACTTCTGAACTTCATTTTGTCGTTCCATGAGCTTCTTGTTTCAATTTTGAATTTTTTTTTTAAAAAACAAAAAAAAAAAATCTAAAATTGTTAAGTGGTACGGGCCAAGCCCAGTTTGTGCTGGCCTCGAATAAGCCCAAGCTCAGTATCAAACTTTAGCCCGAAAAAGAAAGACCCGAAAAGTCCGGGTTCGGACTTGCCCGGATGTAGTGTTGGCGGGCCCTATATATAAAGTTACCAACCAATCCCTATCTACTATTCAACCAGTGAAGAATAGCACCCAAACTTGCTCTGAGTTCTTCTTTGCAATTCCATACCTGTTTGATTCCAGTGGTGTAAGCCAAAGAGGTAATCCAATTCCTCATCTCACTAACTCATAATCTAGGTTTAATTGCCAATGCATATCTATATATATAGACTGGTAACTCTGGGTTGTAGAAAAAGATGTTGTAAAACTGCCTACAAATTTTGTGATTTTCATTTGTCAACAAAAACCCATTACAAAAGCATGTCGTAACTACATATATACCTTGCTGGGCTTAAATCTTTCCTAGAAGAGTGTTAGTTTCTATTTTTAAGAATTGTTCATATGGATGCTCAAGGTTTTGGAGAAGATCGGAAAAAATCCCGAGTAAATTAGGTTAAAATCTGAATGGTACCATAGTAGCACTTTTTTCTTTGTAAGAATGTGCCGATTTTCATACATGAGCAGCTGTGTCAGAGTATTGCAGTTCAAACAAAAAAGTTAGACCCACTTTCTAGAGGCAGTGATATGTCAAGAAAATAATTGGTTGATAATTTAATATTCTCTTATGATTGGTTTATGACGTCATCCGTTATACAAATTACAAATACTCAAAACCTTAAAAATATATCACATCATCTGTTAGTACACTAATTGATATACCAATTGATACATATAGCATTATTCAATCTAGCAAGTGGGTCTAAAAAGTGGACTTATGTATTATTTTTTGCCATATAATTGTGGGAAATACTAAGGGCTTGTTTGATTAACGGGATTAATAGTGAAAGATTAATTATCCCATGAATTAGTGTAGGATTAGTTATCCGATTAAATTAGTGAGATAACCATTTATTATGTATTTATTTTGTTTTTGTTTTTGTTTTGTTTTTGTTTTTGTTTTTGTTTTTGTTTGTCTTCTTTCATATTTGAATTATAATCCTTAGCCCCTCTCAATATTAAAAATTTGCAAATTTCGTCCGATTGAATATTTGTCGTACATATAATCCAGTTATTTTGTGTCCAGTTGTGATTGGGGGCTCTAAAGGAGCTGCTCTAATAGTAGCTCTAATGAGCTGGCATGGAGTAAAAAATAAAAAAACAAGGAACATACATTGTGGGTACTTGTATCAAGCTCAATACGTGGCAAGCCCTACAGGTGCCACATCACCCAAACCCCACCTACGTGGCAGAACAATAAGGCACCACGTCTAGCATGTCGTATGTTTGATATATGGCGAGCCCTATGGACGCCATGTGCCAAGGTGACCAAAACTATATGCTTAGCCTAAGCGGGAGCATATATACAAGCCCAAATATATCTAGATATGAAGAGCCCTACAACAGGCAGCACCATGGCCCCGCAGGGCCCATGGTCCTTCATACCTCGCTCCAAGGCCAAACAACAATAGAGTCAGCCCCCGGCTCACTTGGACTTGGATTGATAAACAATGGCTCTCCTAAACATTGAGATAGGCCTGCGGCCCATTCTCTTACTTGATCGCTCAGAAGCGAGCTCCTCTCTTAAACATTGAGATAAGCCCGCGGCCCATTCTCCTACTTGGTCACTTGGAAGCGAGCCCTTGGCTCTCTTAAACACTAAGGTGGGCCCTGGCCCATTTGTCTACTTGGATGCCTGGGTTGGGAGCAGGACCCAGGCACTATGCTCAGGATCATCAGAGGATACTGGACTGGCGGCTGAGGTCATGGGATCGTTGAGATGATTGTCTTCTTACTAAGACAACTCCATCTCGACCAGGCTTGGAGAAGAGGCAACAATGACCTTACGTTCATGTCATCTGATGCATATACGAAATGTTACTTTCCGCCTGCCATGAAACGTTGCTCTCCGCCTGCCGTCAAGCCACAGACGGCAGAAGGGCTTATATCACTTCTGGCAGAGTTGAGGAGAACGAGCCACCTGTCCAACAGTTTACTTGGGCTCCAATACTCCTGTGGCCTATATAACGTATCGTATATGCAGCGAGACACAACAAAAACAATACAACCAAGTCTCATGCTTAAACACTCTCTCATACTTTACATTAGTGTTAAAAGGTCTTTCTCTGCCAACCTCTCTCTCTCCAAGCTTGCCTTGACCTTCTCCTCTCCATCTCCGGTGATCTCAGGCCATTGAAGTGCCCGCCATCTTCCTGGACTACCTCTAACCACACCTCTCACCCACATTATACTCTGCTGGGGAAGAGTGGTGCTCGCTTCACATGGCACCCAAAAAGAACACTGGAACTGGAGTAGCGACATCCCAAGGTGGCGGTAGGGAGACCCTGGCGGAGACCTCGGAACACAACTCCGGCGGCTCCCCAGAAGAATAGTCCTCCCAACCGGTCATAGCGGACCAACTACGTGCGTTGACTAAGAGCGTCACCTCTCTTCAACAGAACCAACAACTCTTAATGGATGTCCTACTAGCCTTACAAAGGGCACCTACACCTCCATCATCGTCTAACCCTCTTTCAACATCACAAAATGGCGCGCCGCCATTAGCCCAGAATGGCTCGGAAGCCAACCTCGCTACGCAAAACAACTTGCGAACCCAGGCGGAAGGACAAACAGTCGCCCCGCTCCCTTCGACGGCTCCCAGCCAAATACCCCCACCGCAAGTTGGATCCATCAGCGGAGCTCCCACCGTAGTGACCTCGACTAGCTCTCTTGCTCTCCCGGTAGATCAGACCCCTTCCCAGCCATTAACATTAGAAGTAGCAAAAGAGCACATACACAGTCTACTTCAGACAAACAAAGGTCACATCCCCGCCTCCCCAGAATTGGACCTCCGTCCCCCTTACCCTATTCACATCGCAAGTCTTCCATATCCAGCGGGATATACAGTACCCAAGTTTGTTCGCTTCGACGAACGAAAAGGGAACGCCAAGGAGCATGTTTCACGCTTTCTTGACGCCCTTGGAGCTCATCGAGAGGACCGAAACCTCCGCATGAGGGAATTCTCCAAATCCCTCACAGATCGAGCATTCTCATGGTATGCTAACCTCGCTGCTGGCTCTATTTCTTCATGGGAAGACTTGGTAAAAAAAGTTTTACATCAAGTTCTTCTACGTTGAAGAAAGGTTAACCACCCTTCATCTTATGAGGGAAACACAGCGACTTGGGGAGGACATCCTCGTTTACGTCCGCCGTTTCAGGGAAAAAGCAGTAGACATTCAAGACCCGATGGAAGAGCACCAACTGGTGTCATTGTGCATTGAAGGAATGCTCACGACTTATAAACTCCAGTTGGTTAACCACCACTTCTCTAACTTTTCCGCTTTATGTGCTGCGGCCCGAAACATAAGTGAAACAGTAAGATCAGGGGCACGAATGACAGCACGACAACCCCACTCATGGCGACCAACGGCACCTCAACCTTCCTCATGGAGGCCTAACCGACGCAACCACGCTGTATATGCAGCCAAAGGCTCCTCTGGTGGAAGAGAAGACCCGCAGGCAAAAAGAAGAAAGTTCGATCAAATTCCCCCGCCATTACCTATCTCAGTGAACGAGGCACAGGCAGTCCTCAATGCCTAGGTAGAAGATGGAAAAGTTCACCTCCCTGAGCCAAGGCAACCCGTTGACAAAAAGGATCAAGCGCGGGCAGACTATTGCATATACCATCGTTCCGTTAAACATCCTACTACGGAATGTTGGGCACTCAGATCCCTAGTTCGAAAAATGATGTCTGAAGACGCTTTGGAGCTACCTCACCAAACAGAAGATGTCTTGAAAGATCCTCTCCCGCGCCATAAGGATAATGGCAAGACGGTCATGATGCTTTCGCATTATGACGAGATGGAAGAGCCAATGGTGTGCGAGCTCTCTGAACTCCTAGCTCCCACTTGTCCGGACTTTGAGACCAGACGTGTGATAGCACTTAAGAAATCGACAAAGTTCAAGTGGTTCTTCGACCAATTCGGCCTGTCTGAAGCAACACGCTTTGAAGCCACCAAGGCCTTCTTAAGACTTGCAGAGCAGAATGGTGAAACGTGCATGAGTGTAAGCGGATCAGTAAGGAAAGTATTTCGGGATAACTCCTTGGCAATAACCTTTACCGAGGCCGACAAACAAGTACCATTTCCACATAACCGTCCCCTCTACGTCCCAGTATTCATCAATGGGATGGAGTTTCAAAGAGGATTCATGGATGGAGGAGCTTCACTCAATGTGATGCCTTATTCTACTTTCCAGGCAGCTGGGATCCCACAAAAGCACTTAGTCAGACAACCCATCTCCATCACCGGTTTTGGAAGCCAAAAAATTAAACCATAGGTCATGTCCAGTTAGACTTAGCAGTGGGACCAATTCGCTCTACTACTAAGTTTCATGTTATAGAAGCAGAGACGACCTATCAGGCTCTCCTAGGGAGAACTTGGCTTCACAGATATGCTGCGATTCCGTCCACCTACCATCAATGTGTCAAAGCAATCTACAACAATGAGGTAGTAGCCATAGCTGGCTCTCAAAAGCCTTTTCGAGTAGATGAAGCTCACATGGCAGATGCAGTATTTTACAATCATGTCAATGAAGATGAACCTCCCCTGCCACTTCGAGGAACTCCTATACCTGACTGGGATGACCTCTCTGAAGAAGGTTCATCACCACCTCGTAGAAAGACATTCACCAAATCAGAGCCCTCAAGAAAGCTCCCTAAAGTCACCAGGTTTCAAACAAAAGATGGCAGAGTGGTATACCGTTTATGATGGTGCGAGGGGTTGGCAAATGTTACCAATGCCGACCCCCAGCTAGACGACGTAGCAATTGTCCATCGTGAACTAAGTGGAGAAGATCATTGTTGCTACACCTTGTCTGCGCTGGCCCAACGCCCGCCAATGGCAAAGAATAAAAAAAGTAGAGACAAGAAGAGCAAAAGGAGAAAAAAAGCTGTGGCTTTTCCAGCAACAGATAAACACTCTGACAAATCTTATTGTCCTGCGGTAACTCATTTGGATGGAGCTGAAGGCTCAAAAGTTAAACCCCTCAAGGCAGCCATTTCATCTCCTAACCAAGTCCCCGCTAAGCAAGATGGATTGCAAGAAGTCCGACTTGCTCTGGAGTGTTTACAGGATGGCCCTAGGCCCCAAAAGCAAGAACTGGAAGAAATCAACATAGCCTCTGAAGGAGAACCCAGGCGTCCTATCTTCATTTGCAAAGATCTTCTAGCAAAACAAAGGGGGCCCCTCATCGAGTTGATCAGGAAATATTCGGACGTTTTCGCATGGACATATGAAGAAATGCCAGGATTAGACAAAGATGTTACCATGCATCGTTTGAACGTCATCCCCTTGGCTCGCCCAGTTAAGCAAGGAGTAAGATTTTATAAGCTCGAGGTGGAGCTCAACATCAAGGACGAAGTGGTGAAGCTGCTTGGAGCAGGGTTTATCAAACCCATCCAATATCCCACCTGGCTTTCTAGTATCGTCCCAGTTATCAAAAAGAATGATCAAATTCGAGTGTGCGTCGATTTCAGAGATCTAAACAAATCTTGCCCCAAAGATGAGTTCCCACTCCCAAACATAGATACCTTGATTGATTCAGCGGCGGGGCACCATATGTTCTCATTCATGGATGGCTTCAGCAGCTATAACCAGATCAAGATGGCCCCAGAGGATGCCCCAAAGACGGCGTTTCGCACTCTTATAGGTAACTTTTTCTATACTGTAATGCCTTTTGGATCTATGAAGCATAGACACGGCAAAATAGAAGCCGTGGCGGTGTCGGATACGGGGACACGCCGGGGACACGGGGACACGTCGGGGACACGTACGGGACACGGCATCTGGCGTGTCCCCTTAATTTAATTTATTTTTTTGCAGGGGACACGCGTGTCCCAATCTGGACACGCCATGGACACGGCGAGAAGAGTAACTGAAAGGGGGAAAACGAGAACAAACCTGGTCGGCGACGATCCAGAGCCCTTCGACTTCGATTGACGATCCAGAGCCCCATTCTACTTCGACGATCCAGCCCCTTCGCCTTCGCAGAGCTCTCTCTCTGTCTCGCCTTTGCCTTCGCAGAGCGCTCTCTCTCTCTCGCCTTCTCTCTCTCCCTCGCTTCTGATCCTGATCGCGATCGCGATCGCGATCGTCTCCCTCTCTCTCGCTTCTGATCGCGATCGTCTCCTTGCTTCTGTCTCCCTCCCTCTCGGTTCTCTCCCGTCGTCTTCATCTCTTGATATTATAACTATTATAATTATTATATATTCATATATAATATATATAACTAATACCTATTATTATTTTATTATATAATAACTATATATAATATATATAACTAATAACTATTATTATTTTATTATATATTATATAATAGTTATTATATAACATAAATATACTCATTAGATAATGGATAATACATATTATAAGATAATATATACTTATACATATTAATAAATAAAAAAATAAATACATGTATGTAAAATAAAATAATTAATTACAACACATTATTTAAAAATATAATAAATAAATAAAATAATTAATATGTATTAAAATAAAAATATTTATAAAAAAATTAAAAAATTTGCCGTGTACCCTGCCGTGTCCGTGTCCCCATTTTTTAGAAATTGCCGTGTCCTGTGTCCGTGTCCGTGTCCGTGTCCGTGCTTCATAGTTTTGGATTAAAAAACGCGGGAGCAATATACCAGAGAGCTATGACAGCCATCTTTCATGACATGCTGCACAAATCCTTGGAATGTTACATTGATGATTTGGTAGTGAAATCGAAGGAGGAGACCAGTCACCTTAGAGACCTTCAAAGAGTCTTTGAACGCTGTAAGAAATACAGACTCAGAATGAACCCGCTTAAATGCGCATTCGGAGTCACTGCCGGCAAGTTCCTGGGCTGCATCGTTCATCGCCATAGGATAGACCCCGACCCAGCAAAGGTCACCGCCATCAAAAATATGCCACGACCAACCAATCTAGACGAGTTGAGAACCTTCCTTGGTCGGGCATCTTACTTGAGACGGTTTATCCCAGCTATGGTCGAAATAACACAACCCTTCAATTCATTACTAAAGAAGGACGTCAGGTTCACCAACAAGCATTCGAAGGAGTGAAGTCAGCTTTAATTTCCCCTCTCTCCATGACTCCTCCTCAGCCGGCAAGGCCTTTACTCCTCTACATCACTTCCACGCCGAAATTAGTCGGAGCTCTGCTCGCCCAGGAAATTGACGGACTCAAACGACCCGTGTACTACATAAGTAGAGTCGTCCAAGGAGCTGAGATCCGATATTCCCCCATTGAGCGGCACTGCCTCGCCCTAGTCTTTGCCGCTAAAAAGCTCCGCCATTACCTTCTTTCTTACCCCATCCATCTCATGACCAGAAGCGATCCCATCCGCTTTCTCCTCACTAGACCAGCGCTCTCCGGCAGGCCAGCTCGCTGGCTCCTATCATTAGCAGAATATGACATCACTTGCAAAGCTCCTAAGGCCATCAAGAGTCAAGCGCTTGCCGACCTCTTGGCTCACTTCCCTAGTGGAGAACATGAACCGCCTTCAGACGAATTGCCAGGAGATGAGTTCTAAGCAGCCGAAGTAAACACCGAAGGAGAATGGAGTTTGAGTTTTAATGGATCCTCCACCTCTAAAGGGGGAGGAGCTGGAATAGTCCTTATTTCTCCAAATCAAACTGAAGTCAATTTGTCATATAAACTGAATTTTAAATGCTCTAACAACGAGGTGGAATATGAAGCCCTGATATTAGGGCTTATGGCAGCACTCCACCTAGGAGTAAGTCTCCTATGTATCAAAGGCGACTCTAATTTGGTGGTCAAGCAGACCAATGACTATGCTATCAAAGAGCCCCCTTTAGCCTCGTACAGAACCATTGTCCAAAGGTTGACAGACAAATTTGACATGGTAAGGATAGAACACGCTCCTCGCTCCAACAATCGACACCCAGACGCCCTTGCTACCTTGGCTTCTAAAGTAGAATTTGCGGAAGAATCAACTAAGATAGAAGTGCTGAAGCGCTCCATGTCGTGCTCGATAACAACTATTTTTCCTAAAAAAGAACCCGCCGACTGGAGAGCCCCAATCATCGATGAGCTCCGCGCCCCCTCAGGTAAACTACCTTTATGCGAAATCAAACACTTCACGATTTACCAAGGAGTCCTCTACTACAGAGGGCCTGGGGGTCTAATAGCACGATACATCGACTTTACCGAAGCCAAGTCTAAGCTAGAAGGGGTTCACAATCGTTCTTGCGGAACAGGAGACGTGAGCCTCTACAGGAGGCTACAACGACAGGGATATTATTAGCCTACTATGGCCAAAGAAGCAAACGACCTTCAGGGAAAGTGCACCAAATGCCAGGAATTCCCTCCAAAAGCTTAATGCAATTTCGCAGAAATCACCTCCGACTGGCGTCAGGTGTATATAGATTACCTCAAAGAAGCATCATTGCCGCCAGATTGCTCTGTAGCTGCAATAATCAAGAAGCGAGCTTCAAAATTCTTTTTGCAGGAAGGGGCAACTTTTTAGGCATGGCTTTGACGGGAAGCCTTTACGCTGCTTATCGGGAACAGAAATCCATAAAGTTTTAGAACTTGCTCATGGGTCAGAGCACTAAGGCGGAGCCAAGCTATTCCAACATCTTTTGCATATAGGTTATTATTGGCCCACCATGGAAGCGGACGCCAAAATATATGCCAAACGCTGCAAACCTTGTCAATTCCATGGTAATCTTATTCACGTACCAGCCACTGATCTGCATAGTTTGAGCTCACCATGGCCTTTCCACACATGGGCTATGGATCTTATTGGCCCCATCTCTCCACCGTCAAAGGGACATATATGGATCATAGCGGCCACGGAGACTTACACTAAGTTGGTAGAAGCCATCCCCCTGAAGAAGGCAACAGGAGTCGTCGTCTCCAATTTCATTCGAGAATTCATTATATGTCGTTTTGGTATTCCTAGAGTAATCCTGTCGGATAATGGGACCCTTTTTGTCAACCGCCAAGTGGGGAAACTCTTAGTCTCCTACGACATCACACACCGTAAATCAACGCCTTACTATCCCCAGGGGAATGGACAAGCTGAAGCAACCAACAAAACACTCCTTAGAATCCTTTCAAGGACTCTCAAGGATTATCAAAGGGACTGGGCACATATGCTTCCAATGGTGCTCTGGGCATACAGAACATCCAAAAAAAGACCAACTCAAATGACCCCATTTTCGTTGGTATATGGCACAGAAGCCGTCCTCCCAGTGGAAATTGCCATACCCTCAGCTCGCATGGCCCTCCAAAGTGGAACTAGCCCGTACTCCAGACCGTCAGAGTTGGAAATCCTTGATGAGAGAAGGGACAAAGCCCAAGCTAATCTTAGAGTTTACCAGAGCCGTATAGCTAGAGCTTATGACACTCTGGTACGTCCAAGACAGTTCCAAGAAGGTGATTTACTGCACCTCACGTCATGAGGGGAACATCAACCCACAAGTTCACACCCAAGTGGCAGGGTCCTTGTGTAGTAAGGGAAGTCAATGAAAATGGCTATTACAGAATTTCTGAGCCTGACTCTCAAATCCTCTTGAGCCGCATCAATGCGAAATGGTTGAAGGCTTACTATCCTTAGAAATTACCCATTACTATATGATGTACTACACCAAGATGTATTGTGCCCATTTGGGCTTCTTCAATGAATATCGTCCTTTTTCACACTTATTCTAACTATAATCACAAATAATAAAAGATGACGCTTTAACTCTAAAGTCAGCTCCATTAAGTAGTTGAAGATATTCAATTACAAAAAAGAAAGGGAGGCCCAAATCTCCAACACACAAAAGTTTTAGGCTATAAAGTTATGATCCAACTAAGTCAAGACTTTGGAAGCTTGATCTTCTTCTTCTTCACCCGCCAATCTTGTTTCAAGAATCGCTTTCTTTTCTCTCAAGCTAGAAGTTGCCAATTCTGCTTCATTCAAAGCTTTCTGTGCTCGCTCAAAAGATAGCTTACGTTCCTCCTCCACTCGTACAGCAACAACCAAAGCCTTATCTACCTCACCTAGCTCAGCCTCAATCATCCTCCTCCTGACCTTGGATTCAAGAAGAGATAACCAATCATCCAACCAACCCACCTCCAATCTGTTAATCCGGCCATCTCGAAATTCGCCCAAAACAGCACGTTGGGCCAACACCTCATCAAAAGAAGCTGTCTCTGGGTATAACTTGTAAAGCTCCTTAAGGAATTCTCCAAAACCATCCAAAAAATAAGTCCAGAGATAAGAGCTACCCAAGTCCCTGAAAGTGGTCGGTTTATAATGAAGAACAAAGAGCAGTCGAGGAATTAACTCTGCTTTTACCCCGGCAAACAACACAGCTGGATCCAGTAGCTTTTCCTTCCCATCGATCCCTTTAAGAACCACACTGCCACGGGGAAGATGAATAGGAGAAAAATCTCTATCAGTAGCATGAATGAGGGAATAATCTCCATCAATAGCTGGCAGTGATGGCCTTTGAAGGCTACCCCCAATATCACTAGCACCTTTCTGAATGAAGCCAAACAACTCGCGTACGAGCACACCACCCAAGTTTGCACCAGCTGAAACAATAGGCGAGTTGATTCCAACTTCGGAGCCCGAAGGAATGGTGGGCACATTACTCTCTAGGCTCGCAGAGGTCGTAGAAGCATGTAAAGAAATGGGCGCAGAAGAGCCAATGCCACATGACAAGCTCACGGATGTACTCGCATCTCCAACTCGTGAGCTAAGCACATCGCTATGTGAAAAATTACAACCACCTTCAAACAAGCGAGCAATAGGGACACCACCTCCAATCTTGGCCCGCAAAGGAACCAATGCATCCCTAGAATTTGGTGTATCCAACAAAGAAGGCCTAGCACTAACCATGTCACATCCAATATCGTCTTCAACATCGTCTTCAACATCATCCCTTGCCCCCATAACCTCAAGACTCTGATCCGAACCCTCT